ACCCAAACTATGTATAGGTTAAACTATGAGCTCTAAAACGTAAATATATCATCATCATCATCATCATAAGCCTATCGCAGTCCACTGCTGGACATAGGCCTCTCCCATTGCACGCCACTTAGATGGGCTTCTCGCATCCAGCTCCTGCCAGCCATCTTGCGCAAATCGTGGCCTGTGGGCGTCCTACACTACGTTTGCCGAGACGCGGTCTCCACTCAAGAACTCGTTTTCCCCAACAGTTGTCAGTTCTGCGGCTAATATGGCCAGCCCTCTGCCACTTCAGCTTGCTGATCCGGAAAAAAAAACAAAGGATCACTGAGGGTAGAATTTCGACCGTTTTCAATATCTTATTTTACTTGAACTATAATTGTTTCACTTCTTAATTCCTCTCACTTTCATTACAAGTTGTTGATATAAGACTCTATTGTCATCAACAGCCTTTAATAGTCCACTAATGGACACAGGCCTCAAATAAAATCGATTATAGTACCCTGGACATTTCTAATTGAGAAATAATCGAACTGGCAACAATATCGACCGGTAATGGTCTTTAAAAACATCGTCGATATTAAGGAGGTAACACATCGCCACGACAAATGAATGATTCAATATTCAGACACAGGCCTCTCCTTATAAAGGAGGCTTTGGCCTTCTATACTACGCTGGCCAGACGGGTTGGTACAGGGTTTGTTTCAAGTTTTCCTTCTTTTTGGAGTGTTGTTTTCCTGCGTAATTTGCTCCCTTAACCGGCTCTTACGACACCCACAGGATGAATAGGGGTGGTGACATTCCGTATTCTTAATCATTGTCATCAACAGCCCTTAGTCCACTGCTTGACACAGGCCTCTACTTAGAAAGGAGGTTTTGGCCTACTATACCACGCTGGCCAGATGGGCTGGCATAGGGTTTGTTTCTATTTTTCCTTCACTTTGTTGTCCTGAGTAGTTTGCGTCCTTAGTCGACTCTTACGACACCCACGGGATGAATAAGAATGGTGACACTCCGTATTTTTAAACTGTCACATAATGGATTTATAGACTCTATTGACTCTTCCAATTTAATGAAAAGATAAACATAAATAATTACAACGTTCTGTAAAAATTTCAAAACGATTGGTACGGAACTTTAATATACGTAAAGATTTTACATAAATAGATCGGTTTGACCTCATCTTTCTTCAAAATTAAATAACAGTTATTCTAAGAAGTAAATAAAAATGATCAAACAAGTCATCTGTTAAAAATCTAACATCTAAAATTATTCATTATAATCTGTATGAGACCTTGGATCAATTTTGGGTAAAACCAAAAGATCTTGCTGCGTTATGACTACTTGAGACAAACATGAGTAAGTCGTCTACGTAACATGAGTAAATCCGTGACCCCTAATTAACCTTTTCATCTCAAGGTAGAAGATTCTTATCGAAAGTTGGGTAGATTCCAAAATTATAAGTACAAGCTAGGACGTAAAGTAACAAATAAGCATCACTGATCTTTATTGTAAACTTTGGAATCTCAACCATTACTTGTTGACAACTGTAGCAGAAATCCTCATTAAAAATATGTGTATAAACATATAAAAAAAATCATAAGAGTTTTGTTGAATTTTTACGCTTCAGTAGAAGTGTTACTTAGGCAACAATTGGCTTGTGTCCAGTAATTACAAATTGCTTGGTTTATAGTTTCAAATTATAAATGAAGAGACATAGATAAGAAAGAAACATTCTATTTCTCATAAAAATTAAAGATTATTAATATTTTTTAAAAATAAATTCGAACAAAATAGGCAGACTGTGACGTCATTCAAGACGCCATGTGTATTCATCGTTTTCAAGGGAAATTGAAATTGTTTTTTAAATACAAAATACGTAATGTAGATATTGCTTTTTCATTAAAATATAGGTATTTTGGGATAAAATAGATATTAAAGTATATAATTAACCAACTTTTCAAATTGAGTCAACTAGTCTATTACTAAACCGAATTGTGTATATACGTATTTAAATCATCATTCAGATTCATTAAAACAAATACAACTTTCTCGTTCGGTTAATTCATGGAGTAATATCGAATTAGTTATCATCACTTTAATACATCTCATTATTAAACCTAAAGAAGAACAGTTAAAGTACAAAATAAAATGGCAGTTCAAACCAACTGCATCGCCAAAGCCCAGGGGTTTCTATAAAAGGGTTTTCTACTTCAATTGGCCCTTTTAATGGACTCATAGCGTTGCCCAAATATTGTACCTTTCAAGTATTATTTAGAAATTGAAATTGTTAACCGTTTACGTCTGACAACTGGAAATCTTCATCCTTATTTTTCGTGAATACGGGTCCCACATCATCTAGAAGTTTAAATAGCTAACACTTCCCTTCAGGTGATCCGTCTGTTCATTTGCCCCCTCTTACATAAACATAGCTATTTTTGTCATTATTTCTTCTAATATTATAGTGTAGCTATTACTTTGGGTTTGGGTTGGGTTTGGGAATATTGAAAGGATGAGCGAAGAGCGAATGACTGAAATAATTAATAAGGCCTCTGTGTCCCAAAAGATAAAGACCCTTCACTTGACGACCGAGCGGCGCACAAGACACACGCGTTAGCCCGAATCTTTTCATACTACATGTACAGTGAAATAAATCAGTTTATAATACAGTTTACTTTAATAATTTATAATTTCGCTGCAACACTCGCAGATCAAACACTAAAAACTTCTTAAAAGTACCTTTAACCGTACCAATGAATGTGGAAGAGGCACGAACTGTACTGGTATGTTGATAGATTCTACGAAAATTGCGTTCTATTATCTCTGCCTACCCTGGACGAGATAGAAGCGCGAGTTTTAATGTTTTACTATCTCATTTCATTATCTTGTATCTTGTAATTTTAGTGTATTGGATAAACATGGAGTCAATGTATTGTAACGACACTTATTTTGGTAATTTAAAAAGTGAAGTGGCGGTGTATTAGTATGATAATTTACACAGTCTAAAAGTAAATACTGACAAGGATATGCTTGTTTACAAAATACGAAGATTAGAGTTTTAAACATGCGTGTATTTACTTGTAACCGTTGAGGATGCTTGACTGGTTCTAGCCTTATGAGTGTCACGCGACCTAACGCATTGATATTAGACGTTACTGAACCTGGGCCTCAATTCTGCTATTATATAATAAATAATTTCCTTAAAATTTGAAAATAGATTACGGTTTTTTGAGGAAATGATTTATTTATTTTTCCAAATATGGCAATCTTTTCGATACTACCACTAATGAGCCACTGAGTTAGTGTAGACTACCGATATTTATACCGATGCCAATGGCCACTCGATGGCATCTCAATAGCGTGTCAGATGTATGACAGTGGCTTGGCGTGAACATAAAATAGCAGAATTGAGGTTCAAGCGCTGTCACAGCGTCGAATTTTAAACTAAGTTAGTTTGAGTTCGACGCTGTGACAGCGCTATATCCTAGGCTGTTTCCTTAGAGAATAGCACTACAGTTGCTAATACCATAATCTTGACTTTTTGCTTGCAACGTTTCTTGCATTAAGTCTATGCATTGTTGTAAATAACCCGCATATCTTAATCTGTTAAAAGATTAGTAAATTATGTAAATAACATTGTTTAGTATGATAAAGAAACGTAATTTCATTTGACATTAGTTTTGTTTTGACATTAAGTTTGACACTTTGACATTGGTAATTCTACTCGTAATTTAGTTATATGGTTTCTATCAATTATCTTTTTAAATCTAAATGTTAATCTCCCAAATTATGGGTTGAAGTTAAAAAAATGGTATTGAACATAATCAGTATTACTGTTTAAGCGTTTTAAACAATCTAATTTTTAGTATCTGGTATTAGACCCTTTGAAAGGGCCTAAAAAGGCTAAATTGGTGAGGTATAAAAAATAAATATTGTGTAACAGTACAAGTGAGTTGATTTAAAATGTGTAGCAACAAGTGCCATCAGTCTACATAATAAAAATATATATAATAGTCATTAGAGTTTTCTTCGCACCCCCTGTAGCCCGGAGATTATTCACACACCTTCTATATATGGGGTCTACCGATAAGAACGTCCTGTTTTAAAAATTGTATAAAACACACAATTTTTTATGAAAAATGCATTGATTCATTTGATTGATAATTTTATGCAATTTATGGTTTAAATAATATATCGGCCAAATGACCGCCGCGGCTCTTTTTGCAGACGGTCACCCGCTCACGCCAATTTTCGATGACGCGGTGCACCATTTCGCCCGGTATGTCGGCTATGGCTCGTCGAATGTTGGTTTTTAGGTCACGAATTGTAGCTGGATTATTGCTGTACACTTTAGATTTAACGTACCCCCAAAGAAAATAGTCTAAAGGTGTTAAATCACACGATCTTGGTGGCCAACTGATCGGTCCATTTCTCGAAATTAACGACTCGCCAAACTTTCCACGCAATAATTCCATGTTCACTCGAGTAATGTGAGGTGGTGCACCGTCTTATTGAAAATAAAGGTCGTCTTCATCAATATCATCAAATTCCGGCAAGAAATATTCGGTTAACATCGAGTTATAGCGCTCGCTATTCACAGTAACAGGGTTTCCTTCGTCGCTTTCAAAGAAGTACGAACCAATGATTCCACCGTACCATAAACCGCACCAAACTGTTATTTTTTGCAGATACAATGGTGATTCATGAATCACACGTAGATTTGACTCACTCCAATAGAGACAATTTTGTTTATTAACAAATCCATTGAGCCAGAAAGAGAAGGAAAACTTAAAACAAAACCCTATACTAACCCGTCTCGCCAGAGTGGTATAGTAGACCAAAACGTCCATTCTAAGGAGAGGCCTATGCCCAGCAGTGGACTGTTAAAGGCTGTTGATGTGATTATGTTACGTTATCTTAGTCAGCTCTTACCATACCCTCGAGACGAAAGAGAGCAGTAGTTGTAAAAAACATTTCTATGTAACGTGTCTAATATAAATCTTCTTTTCCAGGGAAGACATGGAGAAAGTAAACATCAAATTTCACGAGAACGACACAGTAACGTACCAACACAACAAGATCCTGAGATTTGTGCCAGAACTGTCGGTGGATAAGAACCAGAAGCTGGTGGTGCCCAATATTCCTTTGCTGGTGAGTCTGTTTCTTTCCAGTCGTCTCACTGTAAAAAGACATTTAATAAAATAGAAACTAGCGTAGGTATGGAATAAAGTACAATCTTGCTCATCCGACAGTTGATACATTTTCCACGCTCATTCTCTCATCATCATCATCTCATTCTCTCATTGCTAGATCTTCTTTTACTTTAACCTGTGGTTTTAAAACTTATATTTACTGAGGTTTTGTAGTTCATTGAACAACTCACTTTGAGTGCAATTAGGTATATTACTCACTGAATGCCTAAACGTTTCGACCAGGTTGCACAAAGTCAGTTTAACGTAGCTAGTAGTAGGGAAGCCCATGATGATAAATGGAGAGTTACTCGACCGTAATGAGGACCGTATTGCATTTGAAAGATCAGGTAATAGAATTAATAAAAATTATATACTGTTTCCACTTTGTCTTTAAAAATGTAAGGGGAGGAATAAAAAAAAAAGTATAAGTATGTTTATCAGCAGTCTGGTTACTGTAGTACAGACTCTGCTTAGTTTGGGATCAGACGGCCGTGTGTGAGATGTGTGAGATATATTATATTATTATTATTAACTGCAAAGTCGAAAAATCGCCATTTCTTCGCCACTCGAGCGTGTTAGATTTTATACAAATGGTTCAGCTTGATGTTCCTCTCATTCTAGCCAAAAATCGGACAGTAATTTTGTAGGGTATTTAAATCTGACGGTTAGAAATGTTTTTGTTTTTTTTTAAATGTGACAATTAAAGGCATGAAATATTTTGTAGACATTTAAAGAAGATTTCTAACATTGTTTGCCTCAAAGTAAGAAATATATATAAAGGTCGTGGTTTTGTTTTTGGCACTTTGTGACCCTCCCACTGTTTATCACACTCAAATGGTCTGGTTTTTTTTGAATTGACTCAACTTACCTTAATCCAGCCATAGTTTTTTTTTCAACTAATCTGATGTGCTGCCCTAGACGCTCCCCCTATTTATAGGTTTCATGCATGGTGGAGGTATTCAACTGAATGTAAGGTATTCCTCCTATGTTAATCTAACACGCTCGAGTAAATCCCGAAATTCCTTCTAGGATTCCCCTACTATATCAGGTCATCGCGTTAGTTCAAAAATACTCTTTACTATATTACTAAAGCAGATGCAGAATGAGCAGCTAATAGGTTATGACTGTCCGTATGGTGACGGATTAAGAATACGGAATGTCACCAACCCTATTCATCCCGTGGCTGTCGTAAGAGCCGACTAAGGGAGCACACTAGCAGGACAACAGCACTGCAAAGAGAAGGAAAACTTGAAACAAACCCTATATCAACCCGTCTGGCATGCGTGGCATAGTAGGCCAAAACCTCTTTTCTAAGGAGAGGCCTGTGTCCAGTAGTGGACTGTTATATGCTGATGGTGATTGGTGGCGTGTGGTAGTAACGTACTCTTCTGTTACAGACGGTGACATCCTTCTCACCAAACTTGGCAAGCTGGCTCTTCAACTTGCTGGTGTCAGGACTGGCCATCACTTATCGAGATCGCGCCAAGCCCTTTGTTCATGTTACTGCTGAAGAACTGGTTTTCGGGTAAGATAATAATTTATTTTCAGTTTAAAAAGACTATATCCTGTGTCACGGGGAACTTTAAGAACATGAAACGGACACAAAGAATACCCAGACTCATAACAAATATTTTTGGATCACACAAAGTGTTGTCCCATGTCCGTCCACCTCACCGAATCCACAACAGTAGGAAGCGGTGAGGTGACCATTTATACCACCAAGCTATTCACCATATTTCTCATATTAAGTTCAAGCCTCAAAGAAAAGAGCGTATTCCTAACTCAACCGTAGCCGATAACGCGCTTGTGACTCCTGAGTTACAGACATTTACGCTTGCCATCAGGTGCCCTGGGCCTCAATTCTGCTATTTTATGTTCACGCCAAGCCACTGTCATACCACTGACACGCTATTGAGATGCCATCGAGTGGCCATTGGCATCGGTATAAATATCGGTAGTTGAAAATATATTACGTTTTTTGAGGAAATGATTTATTTATTTTTATAATAATAAATTATTAAAAGAAATAAACAAATTATAAGAAAAATAGTTACAAAAAAAATAATTAAATAAATTATTAAAATAAATAAATCATTTCCTTATAATTTGAAAATATATTACGTTTTTTGAGGAAATGTTTTTTTTTTATTTTATTAAAATAGTTTATTTATTTCTTTTTTATATAATTTTTATATTTTATTTTTTTAATAATTTATTTTAATTAATTTATTTATTATAATTAAAAAAAAAATTACGTGGCATGAACATAAAATAGTAGAATTGAGGCCCTGTCTGCTTGTTTGCCAATATTGACTGCCTTGATGGTGCAGTAGGTAGCGTATGCGCCTGTTGTACTGAGGTCTCGGATTCAGACCAAATGTTTGTATGATCTGCAAACTTTGGTTTCGGGGTTTGGGTGTTTTCTATGTATACCTACCTAATATGTATTTACAAAAAAATACGAAAGTATTCGATTAGTCAAAAACTTCGTGCCGTCCGGGGATCCACAAACTAAAATTTGCCTTTTACTTTCAGATATAACGATCCTCTGGTGACTCTAGCGCATTATTTCTACCCAAAAGGCAAAAGGCCCAACAGTCAAATGGGACTATTATTAGCAGTAAGTGGATTCATTAAACTTTTAATATTAGTAATATTTTTTCTTCTAAACAAGCATTTATCTATATTTTAAAGCAGAAAAATTTGTTTGGTTGAACGGGCCAATCTCACGAACTACTGGTTCGAATTGAAAAATATTTTAGTATTGGATAGCTCATTCATCGAAGAAGGCCATATTACACCATGATACGACCAATAAGAACGTTAAAAAAATTGATCCTTTTGGGAGACGCAGACGGATCAGCTAATATCTTATCAATCAGCAACAGACGACGAGAGAACTGCTTAAGACTAGGTTTCTGTAAAGCCGTGGGATCACTCTGGTCGAGTCAACCCGTGCGTGCGGTAAAAGGTAGTAGGAATACCACCCAAGACTTTTAACTTGCGGCGGTAGTCTAGTGGTTAAGGCATTGGACTTACGATCAAGAGACTTAAGTGATCCTACTCCTAATACAAGCTAAGCAGCTGGGGCGGTTGGGTTCGAATAAACTCAAGATTTCACAAAACCCCAAAGAAAAAAATCTTGGTGGCCAGTTGACATCAGAATTTCATGAGAAAATCGTTGCTGCAATAAGTCGATTGGGAATGCGCGGTGTGGCAGGTGGCGCCGTCCTGCTGAAACCACATGGTTTCCAGATCCATGCCGTCTAGTTAAGGCCACAAGAACTCCGTTATCATATTCCTGTAACGAATACCGTTCACAGTCTCTGCAATTTCGGCCTCATCTTCAAAAAAGTAAGGCCCAATCACGCCGCCTGACCAAAATTCGCACCAGACAGTTGCTCGTTGTGGGTGCATTTGTTTCTCATGGATTGCTTGAGGATTTTCTGAGTTCTAAAGTCGACAATTTTGTGTATTCACGTAGTCATTTAGATGGAAATGCGCTTCATCGGAGAAGATGACTTTTTTCAAAAAATTGGATTCGACTTTACTTTGCTCCATTACCCATTGAACGAATTGCCGGCGCTTTCCAAGGTCTGTTGGTTTGAGCTCCTGAGTTAGCTGAATCTTGTACGCATGAAGGTGGAGGTCTTTTGTCAAAATTCGCTGCGTAGTGCTTCGTGAATCTCACGTTTACAGCAGCAATGTTTTCAAGAGACCTACCGGTACGTTGACGCAAAGGATTCTTAATATCCATAATCGGCATAGTTTCTTCAAATTTGTTGACATCTCTTCGAATGCTAGACACATTAGGTGCACTATCTCGACAGAATATTTGTCGAAGTTTGCGAACGGTTCAACATAACTTTCCCTATTTTTGTAATGAGTTTTCAAAATTATAATGCGTTGTTCTTTCGAAAAGCTCTCCATTTTTTATAATCGGAATAAACATAGGTGCCAGCTACCAAATTTCAGAGTTGCCACTTGCACAAAAAAAATGTTTCTTAATTTAAAAAGTGCACTCTTACTGAGATACCCTTTATTTAACCAAAATACTGTAATTGGTGTAGAATAAAACATATTCTGTTCTATTCTATTGTTCACAGAGAAATGGTACTTTGGATGAAGTATCCACTATGTATACTGGACAAAGTCACATGGATAAATTTGGATATATGGACAGGATCAATGGATTGGACCACCTACCGCATTGGGATGACAAGCCTTGCAACGACATACGGTAAGTTTCTTAGGGTATCTTCAGACAACGGGCGGTAAACGCGCGTTAGAATTAATATACAACTGACCATAGTCTATCTAATCTAAGAATTACCGATTGACAGTTCTGACAGATTGAAAAATAGGGATGAGGTTAAAAAAAATCGTTTACTACAGTATCCGATCCTGATGTGATATCGATATCATTTCTTTGTATTTTTTAATCGATTGCAGTTTTACAGATATGTATGTTATTTTAAAAGTCCGTGTATTGGTTTATTTTAGGTTTCACCAGTAATTTTTTGTTTACGCTAGATTTGGACACGAGCGATTTTGCCTGCATAGATTTATTTATAATTACATTAACTTACATGTTTTTAATTTTAATTATGCGTTTCTGTTGATAGTTGGATGTCAGTGAATTTGAAAGGTCGCAACACTACTGACTTTGAAATGAAGTCTTAAAAAAGCTATTTATACAATAAATACTGGTTATTTTGCTTTGTTTAGAAGGTTTCAACTTATATTTAGGCATTAAGTACATCATGTGATAAAATAAAATTAGCTGCACAGCTCCATGGAAAAGGTTATTGGAATTGTGTGAGTTCAAAATTGTTTTGACTTCAAAAGTATGCAACGTCAAACGGTACCTCTTAGGTTAGATAAACTATGGTTTATCTTATTGTTAGTGAAACTGGCTGCTAATTTAAAGGTCGTGGGTTTGATTTCCACAGTAATTGTGTCGTGAGCACGATCATTCTGTTCTGTCTGGGTGTAATTTATCTATAATATGTATGTATTTACCAATATTACCATAGTACAGGCTCTGTCTTATTTTAGGATCCGACGACCGTATGTGAGGTGTGTTCAATTGTTAGTATTTTTATTATAAAAGGCATATTAACGAGAAAATTCAAACTGACGATAACGTGCGTTCAACGCAGGAGAACCGCTATGTGCCCACTGCGGGAAAACCCAAAGCTTGTTCGACAGTAGATGTTTATTTCTAATTTATTTACAATTTATGCACAAATGTGACAAATCCGGACTTAATGCCGTAGGCATTTTCTCCCAGTCAACCTTAGGGCGATGCAGACCTAATACAAAAAATGAGATTTTATGCTAAATATAGAATATATAGGATACTAGCTGACCCGCCAAACGTTGTATTGCAAAACAAAAAAAAATTAGGGATGGGTCACCCTTACCATTTAGGGGTATGAAAAATAGATGTTGGCCGATTCTCAGACCTACTCGATGTGCACACAAAATTTCATGAGAATCGATCAAGCCGTTTCGGAGGAGTACGGGAACGAACATTGTGACACGAGAATTTTATATATAAGATCATATACCCAGAGTACTTATATTAATTATATTAGAATATTTTTTAGTAAATAATATATATACAAAAGTAATAATGTTATAATTGACAAAAACAACTTGACGTCAAATAGTTATTTTTTTTAACTTTTTCCCTAAAATATGTAAATCAGTTTATAATGTTTTGCGTCATTTGCCAAATCATAGACAATAAAACATGTTTTTTTTTAGTTTCTATTACAGATCTATCTGCATATAATTAAATATTATGTCGTTTCAACAGCAAAAACTGACGAAAATTAATTACATTTGAACTTCGTCTTCTAAACATTTTTTTATTCTTTTATTTTATATCTACGTGCACTTATGAACATTGGCGGACTTAATGCCCTGAGGATTATCTACCAGCCAAACTTTAGCTGGTGTAGAAATCTTGTAGGGCACTGATTACCTATTTTTCATCAATAAGCATATAAAACTAAACAAAATTTACATACTCGTATATTCTACAATTTCACATACCTATAAACACCTATTTTTATGTTCGTACACTATGAATATTTGAAATTAAGGAGGTGTATAGATAGTTCAACTCAGTTGTGCGCGCGGCCCTATGTGTGCGTGGGCTTGTAAATATACAACTTTCATTCGTGTGCTGCTCGGACGACGACTGCCGCGTCACTGCCAATACATTTGAACTATCTATACTATTGGTTGAGATAGGTCCGCCATCTCGTCGAGAAAGTAATTATATACATTCATTTTAAATGCCAAACGGTTTGTGGACATCCTGATTTCGATTGGGAGCGCATTCTAGAGCTACTTGCACAAAGAACGAAGAGTTCACGAAGTCGGAGTTGTGGGAGGGACATACGAGAAGCAAATTATTTGATGATCGAAGATTTCTGTAGTGGTTAGAGGACAAGAAACGGATGTAGGGATCGAGGTAGGTGGGTGGAAATGGGGCGTTGAGAAATGAAAAGAGGTTGCTTCACAGGCGAATAGGTAACCATTTTAATTGGGAGCATAAAGCAGACACAAACCATGTCATGGTCATACTTGCGAAGATTGAATATGTATCGAATGCAGTTATTAAGAAGACGGTCTAGCTTATTAAGGTGATCTGCATTCAGGTCAATGATAGGAACAATGAGGGACTGCTTGAAAGCTCCCGCTGGCGAGCTAAGCTCAATAAAGCGCAGCGGGTAGCGGCCACTAGGATCGTACGAGGTTACCGCACAATCTCGTCGACAGTCCTAGCTATAGGTATAGGGTTTGTGTCAAGTTTTCCTTATCTCTGCAGTGCTGTTGTCCTGCGTAGTTTGCTCCCTTAGTCGGCTCTTACCACACCCACGGAATGAATAGGGGTGGTGACACTCTGTATTCTTAATCCGTCACCACACGGACTCCCTAATCACTGTCTAACCAGTCTTTAGCCAACTTAGTCGGCATCAGAACAAAATCATATGCCTCTGCTTAAAGGTATACAAACTATTCATGGGTTAACTGTGGCGTGTTACGCTTCGGCGGATAGGTATAGAACTGCTCAACCGAAGCCTATGGCTCACGAATTACGGCCTTACAGAAAATTACTGTTAATTCTTTCTTGTTTTTCATCGAGCCAGTGAGGTTATCGGATACTGACTTAATCTCTGAGGGTCTTTTAAGTTGTAAGTGTTCATAGGCGGTGGTAGACACTTACCATCACGTAACCCATCTGCTTGTTTGCCCTGTATCATAAAAAAATAACTCACGCAGTTTTCTAGTCAATCTGAGTTAACGTTAATAAACAGACGCACTTTAAGAAGTAGTGAGTAGTAGTAACATCATTTATTTCGCTTTTCTGCAACCTGCGGAAGCGATTTCGTGATAATGGGACGGAAATGTGTAACAGATCCCGGGAATCGCGCTATTTGTTTCGACCAATGAGAGCACGGTGCTAGAGTTATCCGCCAGATAGTAGGTGAGTTGACTACTGTGAGGCTCACTCGTTATATCGTTTTCGTTATTAAGAAAGAACCAAGACGAAAATAGAATACCTGTAACAGTACCAGTGATGCCACCACCCCTATTCATTCCGGGTTCCGTACCTCAAAAGGTAAAACGGAACCTTTATAGGATCACTTTGTTGTCTTTCCGTCTGTCAGTCAAGTCTCGTTATCTCAGGAACGCCTAAAGGTACCGAGTTGAAATTAAAACCATATACTTAGGTCTACAGTCCCTTGAAGCTGTGAAAAAATCAAACTTCTATGTTAACGTGAAAAAAAAAGATATGGCCGTTACCGTAAAACCACATATTTCGACACTCTCGAGGGAATCAAAATTAACAGTAAATAATAATATTAATATGGCACAAAAATACCTAAACAGCGTTACAAACACGATACTGAGAGTATTTACGATAAACTCTGGAACCCAGAAAGATTCAACTTGTGTTTAGGGTCCTAGCGATCTCGCGCACACTATAAACATAAAACGTAAAACCACACGGTGTGCCACTCTAAGCCTTAAACATGAGAAATACGGGAACAGCTATTATTTTTAGACATTCGGACCCCTCTTTGACCCTAATCCGCCACCAGATCCCCACTGTCTAGCCTCCCGGAACCACGTCAACGCCTTAAATAGGTCTAAGAATTAATTGCGCGCCTAATAGAAATAGTACTAGGTACTAATAGTAATCTTACTTCTAAAAATAACTCTAAAAACTCTAAAAAAAAACTAAAAAAGCCAAACTAAAACATAGAAAATAAATTTTAATAAATTTGAAAATAAAGTGTTGGGTGCATGTTGTCAATCGTAAAAAGGACCACACGCTTTTTTTTTCAAATTTATTAAAATGTATTTTAAAAAGCGTCTTTTTTAGTTTTTTAAACTATTTTTTTTATATTATTTACTTTTATTTTTATTAGTGTATTGTCATCGGTCCTCGATATATCTACAAAGGTTGAACGAATTCTGACCGTTTAAAGTCAGTCAAAATCACGCCCAAAGGAGTCGGTTACAAACAAATAACAAAAATAAAATAAAGTAATAATAAAAAATTAATAAAAAAGCGTGTAAAAATAGATCTGCCTCAGTACTAATATCATAAAAGTCATTTTAAATACAATTTACTTTATTTATCATCTCAAGAAACTTCACCAAGCCATGATGAGTTTCTTTCGAACATTTTCCTTATAATTTATTGCTTCATTACTTACCTTGTATATTTTACAATTAGTAAGGTATTGACAAATAACTTAGTTAAATATCTTAGCAGTAAACCTGAAAGATTAGTCATTATACTAACTAATTATTGAAGTCGAGATCTACCTATTACTAATAATATAAATGCTAGACTGCACGGATGGCGTAGTGGTTTAAGCGGTCACCACGCCGCTTCCTACTACGTCGAGTGTTGTGGGTTCAAACCCCACATGGGACGACACTTTGTGTGATCCACAAATTGTTGTTCTGAGTCTGGGTGTTCTTTGTGTCCGTTTCATGTATGTTTGTAAAGTCCCCCGCGAGACAGGATATGTTCCTAATGCGGGAGTTGTCTTTTTTATAATAAAAATAATGCTAAGGCAAGTCTGTCTGTCTGTTACGCTTTCACGGCCAAATCGCTGAACCGATTTCAATGAAATTTGGTATAAATATGGTTTGATTCTTGAGGAACAATATAGGCTACTTTTTACCGCGGGCAGAGCCGCGGGC